AGCTCCGTAGTAAGATCGCGGTGGAATTGGCGAATCTGTGGAAGCGGATATTTGAATGCTTCTGAGGAGGTCAAGCATGTTGTAGTGGAGAGGGGAATAGTAGCTGCCATTTTGGCGTTGGACAATGTTTGTAGCTCGTATTATATGTAGTTGTTCATGAATTGTGAATTAATTTCTATTGGGAATTCACGTAATTGACAGTCTTTTTCGTATCATTATTCGAGGTTCTAGACTTCGCAAATCGTATGTGTCAAGGCTGTCGATGGAGCTCTGGTGTGCATACTTGTTCTCGACGTATAGTCCGTGCATCAGCCTTCCTGCAAGGCTGACAAGATTAAAGCCTTACCTTCTCACATCTTTTTCTTCTGTCATCATGAATTTCTAAACTCCAAACCGCACACTACGATGATGCTTCCACGCAAGTTGAGTCTCCTTAAATAAGAAACATCTCAAAGCCAAGAAGACAAACCATTGAGCCATCGTCCCTCTTAAATTCACTGCGAAAATGAACACATTAACCCCAAACCCACACCATGCATCCCTTCTCTCACTCACTCACCTCCTTCACCTCACACACCACCGCAATAAAAACCAACACCGTCTCTCAAAATGGTACATATCCTTCGGAATCCTCCGTCGCCAAGTATCTCGTCTCCTATCCATCATCCCAGAACATGTGATGGAATCATCACGTGGAAAAGTGAAAGGGAAAGCTCGGGAACGAAAAGAGAAGGAAGAGAGAGAATTACAGAGTTTGGTTAAGTTTATTCAAGAGGATGTGGTACCAGGATGTTATCTGTGAGTTCTTTTTCTTCGTGGTTGGATTGGAGAAGTAAAAATTGTAAAGGATTCTTGTGGGAAGATGTCTAATGAATGTGAGGAATAGCGCATTCAGTCAATTAGTAGCCAATAACCAATATGCTACTTTAGGATTGATGTTAATGGGATGTTTGGCCCGATTATATAAAGTTCTCGGTGCGTTGAGAGTTTCAACTGCAGAGGAAATTGCAGAACAAGCAGAAGTTGTGAAAGAGACGCCGCAATTGAATGAGGCCGAGATTGGAGAGGATATGGGCGAGAAGATTGTGAGAGATGTTCCAGATTTAGATGTGGAAGATAGTCAAAAAGTGGAGAGAACAGAGGAAGACGACACTGATGTTAAGAAAGCGAAACCAAAGAAGAGGAAACAGGATGGTGAAGTAGTGGTGCCGAAGACTTCTAAGTTAGCATCATCAGATTCGATACCGGCGAAACCACCTAAGAAGAAGAGAAAAAAGAAGGGCGGAGATGCTATCGAAGATTTGTTTGCTGGTTTGATTTAATCCTAGGAATAATTGTTGAATTTGATACCCCTATCGAGCAATTATACAAGCGAGTCAATTTTGATTCACGGTGGGAATTATGAAAATCTTATGAGATCCAAGTCGTAATGTCATAACTGATATCAAGTATCATAAAAGCTCTAAACACTTCAAGCTCTACTACCGATTTATTGGGTTTTGACGAAAAATTGGCTTGCTTTTATGTTAATAAAAAAAAGTCTTCAACCTTCTTCCCCGCCTATCCCTAAAGAATGCAAATTCTCTCAACTTTCCTCTTTTGTAACACTATTCCTACAATTCTGCTACCTTCCCTTAACTCAGCATCCTCCCCAAAGACCACAATCCTCCACCAACCAACACATTTCCTCCCAAATGCATCCCCGCACTCCAAGCCATGGTATACAAAAATTTGGGACTAAAAACTGTCCAAATAAAAAGATGCGTTCTCAATACTGTACAGGCTATCATCGTCGCCGTCAAGCTACTCGCTATGAATATCGTTAATAGGGTTATATGATTACCCCAAACATTCTTTCGCTTCACTCCGTCCTTCTTCCATAACTTCAATAGTAGGAGATTACCAGCTGAAGTGAAGTAAAGAGGACCAGCCCAATTAGAGATGAAAATCAAGACGCCGACTGCGAAGACATTGTAGGAATCAACGCCGTTATACGCAGATGAGAGATCAATTGATGAAATTGCATTTGAGTTCCCGAGAGCGAAGAAGGAAGTTTGTTGCAGGAGGAGGGTGGTGGTTGTGATCTCTATAAGGGAGAGATCGAGGGTTGAGAGGATTGAGTATTGAAGTTCAAAGACTAGAATCAGGGGGATGTTGGTTGCGCGAGTTTGAGTTATGAGAAGAAGGACCATGAGGTCATGAATCGTACGCATAGGCACTTGAGTTTGGTTAATCACTAGAGAACTTCGTAGTGGCAGTGAAGAAAAGGAACTTACCATTTTGACGTTTACTTGGTGGGCTAAAACTAGATAACACAGTGTATACTAGGCAAGATGCAATACCAATAAAAACTAATCTTGCTCGGAGAACAAGTGGGATTCCAGTATCATTATCTGCCATGGTCTTTGCTATACCTGCCAGAAGTTCGGGTGAATCTTCATTTGTAAATGCAAGTTTAAATGTAATTGCTGCGGTGGCCAAAAGTGTTGAAATACCACCAGCAAGAATTTGTGGGAAACGAGGCAATCCTTTACTGGCGAGCGATTGAATGTTCCAAAGATATGTAGCGCCTACAAGTGTCCATAGTGTCAATCGATGTTGAGAGAAAAATGTTCGAGCGATATCAGGGTCGCCAGCGAATTTCTGGCCTGTTTGATTCCAGCGTCTAGAAATTCTGGTGGCGACTAGAATCATTATGGAGCTGATATTCAATAGCCAAAGTCCATGAGATTGGCGACGTATACTAGGAATTCGTTAATTTTGAATCAAGGGGCAAGATTAAGAGAATCATACTTCTTGATCGATAAGAGAAACAGCCACCCTGTAGTCGTCCAATACCAGAAATGCTGCTCCTCTTCTACATAACTACTGGCAAACATCATAATACCATAGGACAAGCAGATAGCTATAAAGGGGATGCTAGCTTTAAGATTGTTCACAATGAGTGGCCCTGCCGCCACCCCTGCCATTACTGAAGCCAGAGCTGCGATAACTTGGCCAGTAACCAACTTTTTGACATCGTAATTACTAGCAGTGCCACTCATCAGCTCTTGAGCTGCCTTCAACCACTAAAATTTTGTTAGATATTGAACATGGTCATGAAGTAAGACCTACTCTTGTGACGGCTGCGACCCAAACAGCATGGTCTTGCTCGTTAGCTTGGAGACCAACTAAACCTTGCGTAATGCTTTTCCATTGGCATGCCAAGTCATCAACACTACTTGATAGATGGTGGCAGTTCCCGGAAGGCCCATCGTTTTCAAATGATGGAAACGTTGCAGTAACAACGCTGAGAATCTGCCTAGCATTTCTCAATAAAATTTGAACACGGTCGTTTTCTTTTGAAAATTAGCGAACGAGCTTAATCGTTGACTAGACAAACATACTTTTGGGCCAGAACAGTAAGAAGTCATCAATGAATGCTCCTAAATTATTTTTTGGTATAGGAAAGCCAAGCAGAGCTCCAAGTGTAGGAGCAATATCAGACTGTTCAACAGTTTTGTAATACTGGAATTCCTCTTCAAATGGAGCAGGTACCTCGAAACGCTGACGCTCATGCCTAAGGTCCTTGAACTTTGGTGACATGAAGACAAGAGCTGGGGAGGTTTCTCCTGGAGCAGATCCACCATGATTACCAGCATCATTCATTCCGTGATCACCACATAACACTAAGAGGGTCGAGCTCAGATGATCTTGCGCTTCCATGTTCTCATAAATCAATCGGACAATACCATCCATCTCTTGCTGTTTGGGAATCATGTTCGGGCTGGTAAAGGAATTAGTCTCTCCTGTAGAAATTTCACAAAAGCAAAATCTTACCTCCGTGGACCTGCTTTGTGACCAATATGATCTAGTCCAAGGTAGTGAAGAACCATAGTATTCCAATCATCCTTCATCAACTCCTCCGGAACATGTCTGGTCACATTATTGTCCACTTCAGTGAAATCCTAACAGAAATTTATATTCAGCTACATTCATGCTATGTACATTCTCAGCCACTGGATGACTGACCGAAACAAAGAAGCTTGAAGTTCCATCTGCTCTGTCAAAAGTTTCTGGGAATAGCTTCAACCAAGTATCATCTCCATACATGATCATCTTTCCTCTTCCTCTTTCTTTCATTTGTGCTAGCCATGTATCTTGAGTCGCCAGAGAAGAGGATGTATCGGATTCAGCGAAATTCAGAATCACGTCGAGAAATGAAGGTATAGAACCCGTTGTTATGGCTTTTATTCTTGGCATAGTAATGGTAGGAGATGTCGCATGAGCTGTGAATGGAAGAGCTGCGCCATTTGAAATGAGACTGTAGAAAGAGTTAGTACGGGTCAAACAAGTTTGCAGATATGCAATCAACCTTTGAGTAAATTGGAATCCTGAATTATTTGAGAATACAAAGTCGCTGTTAAGGTTAGCTCTCATGTCAAACTCTGCTTCAAATCTTCTACCTTCTCAGCGCATCAACAACCATAAAGATGACCTTATCGAATGGAGCTTCCGGGGGAGCACCATATTCCAGAGACTCATACTGTGCCAATCCAGATAGAAAGGGCTTGTAAGGAAAGAAACCACCAGCAAATATCAATATAGCAATTGGAATGAGAACATTTGCTACCACGAGCAAAGAGTTTCGTATTCTTGAGGCCATCTTGTGCCTTTTAGTCCTGACCCATTGATTGCTTGTGTAGAATCAACGATATGTTAGCTTAAGAAGAAGACAACTATGTAGTTCAAACCATTCTCTGCCATTTGTATTTATGTAAGAGAATAATTTAGGAAGTTCGTATTGAGAGAAGCTAGGTGTCAGGTTGGCGAACGCGTTTTGGCGTCTGGGATAAGAAATCCTTATCAGTCGACATGGATAAATCAGATATTTTTTGTGCAATGCATGTGTGAGGGGAAGAAGGGTCTTTTGTATACTGGAGACGGCGGAAAGGTTGAAACTTTCAAATTCTTGGTATAATCTAACATCTCGAAGTCCTTTGAACTACTCCTCAATTTTATCTGCCAGAAGGTGTAACAAAACCCTCATCATGAACTCCATGCCCCCCAAAACCAGACAGTCCAATGCGCCTATAAATTATAATTGATTTTCGACTTCCAACATCTCAATGCTCCTCAGTAGATCTTCTGCTTTCTACCCCCTCCTACTTTCTTTCCGTTCTTGTATGTAGTGAAAGTCATTTGGGATTTGCGACTGCTAACTCTTCTCTTCGAAATACGGTTCTTTGACTTGGAGCCAGCCTTGCTGATAGCATCTACCTCCATTTCTGCGGTTTCATATGTCAGTCAAAGATTCGAGTGGGCGCTAGATCTTAGAGTCTTAAAATACCTTCGGATGGCTTTTCTTGAGCTGCGGTGGTGGCTTTCGAGGCATCTTTTGCAGATGCTAAATAGAATATTAGAGAACAAATCATTTGAAAGGAATGTTTATTCCGTACCCTCTTCGCCCTTTCCTTCTTTTGCTTCCATGTCCGCATCTTCTGTCTTCGCTGATGGCTTTGGTTGCGAAATCAACTCCATAAGTTTCGCATTCAACCTCTCTGCTCGTGCATTCTCGACCGGACCAAAGACTTTCGCTTTTAAGGCGGAATTATTTGCCTTGATAGAACTTGAGCGCGCACCCTTAGCCATTGTTGTGTTTGGATATGATAAAAGGATAAATTATAGGATACTGTAGAGGATTGTTGAATGTTGTGGTAGATTGTAGAAAAATCGATGTAAACTTCTTCTTCTTCTTCTTCTTCAAATAGCGCAATGAATGATTTTGATAGATTTCCATTCACTCACTCAATTAATCTTTTATCTTAGCGGCAAAATCTAAAGCCAATAAATTTATTCTGCCAGGTATCCCTCCCTTACCGCCTTCTTCATTGAGTTTCGTGACTTCCTTCCATTACGACTCGGAGTTGAACATTGAATTTCACAATTTATTCCACGACAAGAAAGGCGAAAGAGCAAAGGAGTATTTGGAAGAGCAAAAACAAAGATCAATTTGCTGCCATCGTCAATACCGTAAGGAAAATCGAAATCATACTCTTTACAATTCTTACATCTGTTCACCATTTCCAAGTCTTTCTAAACTCCTCAAAAACTAATTATTTAGCTTGTTCAGCACCATCAAGGATAGGAAATGGCCTCGATGGGGGGTGGTAGTTTCCTCGACCCAGAACCATATGTGCGAAAGGTGAAAAATGGTGGCATGCTCAACCAAACACTGAAGAACATATGTTTAGCTGAGGATATGAAAGTAAATGGTGTCAAGGCAGAATTACAGACGAGAATTGTTGATAGTAAGTCGTTTGCATCTTGAAGAAGTTGATGATCGCATCGCGAATTGCCGCACTGCGCATTCTCATACTATGGTCTACCGGCGCTGCGATTCTACAACAGCTTGTCAGAAGGGAGAACAAAGCTGACAATTTATTACTTTCGTTATAGGAATCAGATTTTATGCGAATGCGCCAGACGAAATCAAATTCAATCGGCTAGGGCGTATCATAGACCATCCAGAGATAGTAGCTGCTGGAGTGCACTCACGTCCATATCAAGGATCAGCTTCTCCAGCTGCCAATTCGATGTCCAACGGCGCAACAAATTATTCTGCACCTAGAGCAGCTATGCAGCCATATAAGCCCATGGGTTATGGAATGAGTATACGAGCCCACGATATTAGGATTGTGCGCCTGGTCTAATTACTCATAGAGCTTGAATTCAAACCAAGTCCATTCTACGATATCGTCGAGCAAATTGGGGAGGTCAAATTGTGTGATGGTAGATACTTCCTTTCCTGGGTTCTATTTAAAGTATGCTAATCATGATTGAATAGCCATGAATCAACATCGCCATACCGTTAACATCCCAGTCAAAGCTCAGAACCATCCGATCTTGTCAAAAGCTCAAAATGACCCCACGTTGAGGGTAATGATATTTTGCGCGAGCGAAGGTAATGGGAGACAAGATATCGCTTTTCCTCATCAATCAGAGGTCAAAGTGAATGGAGGAGATGTAAAGGCAAACCTGAGAGGATTGAAAAACAAGCCTGGATCAACTCGACCGGTCGATATTACCAAGGAACTGAGGTTGAAGGTTCTTGGATATCAAAATACCGTCGAGATGACCTATGCGTTGACTACAAAGGCAGGTCTCAATGGAGCTTTCGTATCATCAGAGGTGAATAAACACCACGCGATCCTACCATGTTTTTCTCCAGGATTTACAATGTGTTGTTTATTAACTTTTGTACCGCGGAATTGCAGTGCTAACAAAAACTTCAGAAATTCTATTTGGTTTTATATGTGGTCAAGTTAATTCCTGTCCCAGACTTGGTCAAACGATTACAGGCTGGCAAGAAAATTACAAAGGAATCTGTGATCAACGAGAGTAAGATGCCATTCCCTCAAAATTTGTCTTCTGGAACCTAATTTCTTACAAGTGATCAATAAATCACGAGATGCGGACATTGTGGCTACTGCTTCAGTTCTATCACTGAAGTGTCCATTGTCAACCTTAAGAATTGATTTACCTATTCGATCAATATCGTGTAGGCATAACCAGTGTTTTGATGCTACTTCCTATCTTCAATTACAAGAACAAGGACCAACTTGGCTATGTCCAATATGCAACAATTCTGCACCTTTTGAGACATTAGTCGTTGATGAGTAAGTTGGTTATCCTTTGATGGGCAGGTTCAGGTTTGCTGACAGATTTTAAAGATACGTAAAGAATATATTACAAAACACATCAAGATCCGTTGATCAAGTTACAGTTGAACCAGAAGGACAGTGGAAACTCTACAACAGACCAGATGCCATATCGTCACGACCCGGTGTAGCTTCAAGCGATTCCTCTGATGACGATGACGACTTGATCGAAGTCTCCCCAGGTGGAAGGAAAGCCAGTACACCAATTACTAGGAATGGTACCTCGAACGGCACTTTGAATCAAGCACAAAGTACTCGCGACTCCTTATCGGCAGCACCATCCAATCGATCAAATCCAATAAACCCATCAACAGGTGGTAAAAGACCCATCTCGGAGGTCATTGATCTATGCAGTAGTGATGAAGAAGAATCACCTGCAAGACCACCGAAAAGACAAATGACTTCGTCATTCTCTGGACCAAGTTATTTAAGCGGTGTAGCACCTGTTCCTAGACCGAGTTACCTAGATTCTTGATTGATAAAAGCGTTAGCTAGGGAAAAGTAGATTCAGAATATCTTTGCTTTTTAGCATCTATGATTTCTTTTCGAACCTGTTTTCCCTAGCTACCTAGTTAATTGTACGATATTTCTTTTAATTCTTGAACATGGTTGGTATGATACGAGATGGGCGTTTGGGGCTATGATGACATTGTCTGGAATAAATTTACTTCGGTCTACACCTGGTTGGGATGGATAGGTTGGATTACCAATGATTTGCTTGACAAGCCATGGGAATTGCAGCGAATGGAGTTTTTTTATGGTAGGATGGATCGAGAAGATGGGGAGGAAGACATAATTTGCCGATTGCTAGTTGCTGATTTATGAATTGGCTACTTAGTTTCTCCTGGAATCAACGGATGTATGAGCTGTGGGCCATGGGCTGTGGGCTTTGAGTAGTAGATTACAGGGAAGAAGTGCATATCTACATAGGTATTTTCGACGACGCCCGTGAAATATGAAATATACTTTCAAAAGATGGTACTCCGTTGATGATGAGTGATAATGTGATTTAATCCGATACATTGTTGTGAGGGATATAACACATATTCTGTACTACACATGTAGATGAAAACTCCTTGTATAATATGGCCCTGTCACTCAATCCCTGGTTCAAACGAATAGGTGTGCCATACTGATCTACCGATTATACATAGAGAGGACAAATACTACTACTTTCAAATTCGACATTTTATTATCGATAGCAAAACTTTTGTAAATATAATACAAAGACCATGTTCATATCGAGCATTTTACGTCTCCCCAACTAACAACCTCGCACTCACCCACCTTTGAAATACTCTCACTTCTTCTCCGCAAATTCATGGATCCACGCTGCCAAGTTCTCCGCTCCCTCCAAAGTAATAGTATTATAATTACTAGCTCTAATACCACCTACACTTCTGTGACCTTTCAGTCCGGTCAAACCTCTCTCAGTGGCACCTGCTAGGAATGATTTTTCGGCTTCGGAGATATCTTCCGATGCGGTGACACGGAAACAGATGTTCATTCTTGAGCGGACGGAGACGTCGGGGACGACTTTGTAGATGGAGGGGTGGGCGTCGAGAGCGGAGTAGATGAGGGTGGATTTTTTGTTGGAGAGGGTTTCTTGGCCGGCGATGCCGTCGGGGTAGGTGGTGAGGAGTTTTTGGAGGACGAGGCCCGCGATGTAGACACTGGGTGGGGTGTTAGTGGGAGGTTGGGTAGAGTGGGTATGGGTATGAGAAGAGGGAGGGGAGGGGGGTGGAGAGACTTACTCAAATATGCTTAGGGTGTTGTAGAGACTGTTGTTCTTTGCAATTGTTTCATAAGAGAGAACAATGGGACCAATTGGTAGTCCAAGTTTGCGTAGGAGAGTTGGAGCGGGTGTTGCGACGACAGGGGGGAGGAGATTCTTCTTGATAATCACCACGGTGATTCCTGTACTTCCCAAGTTCTTCTGTGCACCGAAAAAGACGACGGAGAAATTCTTCACGGGAATTCGTCGCGAGAGGATATTGGAAGACATATCTGCTACTACGATGGGTTCATCTTCTTCTCCATTTGGCTCTAGAGATTTTGGGAACCCGGGGAACTCGACTCCATCGACCGTTTCGTTGTCGCAATAGTATACCATTGCTGGATTCTTCGAGAGTTTCCAATCTTTCTCCTCGGGGATCTTGCCAAATTTGCCATCGTTGATCTTTCGTCCATCCGCGACAATATTGACATGTTCTGCGCCTACCAATCTCGCCGCCTCCTGACTAGCTTTGAGAGACCATGATCCCGTAACCAAATAATCAATTTTAAGCTCATCATCCACCGCCTTCTGAAGTTCCTTTACCAGCGCATCTTCTGGAATATCCTTATCCGAGGCGATGCCCAAACCCTTTAGAATCTTTTGTTTTCTCTTCTCGACCCAGACTCCAACTAAATTGTATATCGTTGCGGAAAACTCTCCACTGCCACCTCCTTGCATGAAGAGGATTTCATAATCATCTGGGACCTCCAAATATTTTGCCAAATCTGCTTTCGCGGTGTTCAACACATTGGCGGCGAGTTCAGATCGATGCGAATGCTCTGCTAAACCAAGACCGGTACCATTGTAATCTACGAGGGCTGCGGCTGCGGTTTCAAGGACATCGGTGGGGAGGAGTGCGGGACCGGCGCCGAAATAGGTGATTTCTGAACGGGATGGCATTGTTGATTGAGTTGGTGAAAGGGATGAATGTGCTGGCAATTGTGAGGTTTCGAGTTTATTCCAGATAATTGAATTGTGGTGAATGTTTTGAAAGTTTGAAAATTATTTTAATTGAATGGTTTTAAAGAAATTGAGTCAAATAATGACTCTTCAACTTTTGGGATTTAAAGCTCGAATGATTCATATGGGTGGTGGGGTAGTGTCGCACTAACTCAAACTAGGTATTAATGGACCTCTCGCTTGGTGGGTTGGGACAGTAGTAGTGTACACTGTAGTTCTTCAAGAGTTTCGATCGTTTCTCTGGTGTGAAAAAAAAAAGGTATAAAAATAATTTCTGAATAGATTTCTTTTCATTTCTTAATCATTATACGAAACCCTAATCATATAACTTTTAATTTGTAATTTTTAATCATAAATCATTCAGCCGTGAAAACTACACGCATTCCTGAATATCAAATCCATACCGAAAGACAACTTCTCCTATCCTCACAGCCGAAAGAAAAAAATCATACGAGTACCGACCGATACATATCGAACATAAACTCCACTTCACTCCAATCAAAAATCCACACACGGACGTCAAAATGCGTGGTCACTACAATCCAATTCGTTCTCTCAATACACATCCATGTCGTTCTCTCCCACCTATCCAACCGAGATCTCGCGTCATTCAACCCCGCCATCTGGATTCCTCCCCCACAATTACACCTCAAACGAGAATATTTGAATGGTGGGCTAAGAAAATAAAGGGGGAGAAGATTGCTTTCGGAAAGAGAGTTCCTATTGCATTGGCTGTAGGAGGGATTATTGGGGTTGTTGCTGATGAGAAGATTAGGGAGAAATTGTTGAGAAGAGGAAAGGGGGGTGAAGGAGGAGATGGGGATGGGGGTGATGTAAATGGTATGCCGGCACTTATTATGGGACCTAGGAATAAGAGATTGACGGATGACATTGTCTTTCAACTCGAAGATGCTGTCGGATTTATCTAATACCCGAGTTTCCCAGATGGAATTTCTATTTCTGGAATCGAAGAAGGGAGGAATATTTTGTCGCTTGTTTTTCGTCTATCGTCTGCCATTTACAGTATCATCCACCGTTCATTACCTACCATCTATCATCTAAAATCTACGAATTGCAGAGAAACCTCACAACCCGAATTGATCAATCAATCACTCAGCAATTCAAAAACAAAAACTGCGAATTTTAATCGAACAGTTCTCCCTACTTGCCGTAAAATCTCAGTGCCGGCACAGCAAGAAATTTCTCTGGAACAGGTTTCTCTTTCGATACGTATCTCATTCTTCTCTTTCATTGTTGAACACGGAATAATAATACACCACTTCGATTAACACTATTATATCTACCACATCAATTTCTACAATAATCAGATCACCGCTTCAAATTACATCAATATCATTAATACAATTACAATCTACTACTACCAACACTTCAACTTTATATCGCATACACCACACACACATACATATACACTACACATATACACACACCACACCCATTCACCCATCCCAACCCACTCTTTTCCAAAAAATAAGAAATGCCACCCTCATTCCTCCTCCGCAAAACAATCAAAACTCTCATCCGTCTTGACCGAGTTCTCCTTCCTCGTCCACCACCTTCATCTCATCTCGCTCGTCTAGCTACCCGTTCATCATTGACAAACCCAATGAATAGGATGAGAGTATGGTGGTGGGAGAAAACGCCTATGCAGAGAAATTCGGCTGTGATTAATATTTCGTTGCTATTGGGAGTGGTTTTGTTGGTGGGTGTTGAGGTGAGGGATATGTGGAGGATGTGTGGAGGGTATCGAGAATTTCGAGGGTATTTAAAGGGGGAGAGGTGGGGAATGGGGATGAAGGAGGCGAAATTGGATGAGGTTGAGTAATTATTGGGAGAGGGAGAGTACAAGGGAAGGGCGGAAGGGAGTTTATAACTAGCTGGGTCTATTCGTACATATGGTTGGAAGATTAATATAGTGCTCAGCATGCCCACATCGTCGCATTATCTGAGTATCTGTACATTATGGGTTAGGGCGTCGATGGTTGCTATCCACTTATCTTTGCACTTTGGAGTCAGAAGAACGATTTCAAGTTTCACTGCTAGATGAGTATGACATGGAATGGAATGGATATTCTTCAAGGGATCTTCTTGGGCTGGCTTGGAAATGGAGTTTTATTTTGGATTGGGGATAAATTTTATGGCTATACTTGGAATTCACAGACGGATTGGAAATCATAGAGCTCCTGGGTCATCATTGGTATAGGGATGAGGGCAGAAGCTTTATTTTGTAGATATAGATCATGAAATTGGAGTTTAGACGTACTAGTATGTGATACTAGGAATCAATATATTCTCATCGCTCATAAACATATGCTTATATACTTATGTATACGTATCAGCCTTCACTCACGGATATCACAAACCTCACAACCCTCATTAACTCCCCCTCCTTCCCTGTCCCCTATTTCTTCGTCCATACATATATACACAATCAAAACAGTCGCATCAAACTCCTCATACATATACTAATATATTAATGAATAAACTTCAGAGCGAATGTCTTCGAACCGCTTTCATTCTTTTATTGTTTTATGATCTAAATATTATCCTCCTTCTTTCCTTCAATGTATCCTCCCATTTCTCTTCTCAGAATTAGATATCAAATTAATACATAACTATATGAAAACCTATAATCATCACCATCCTCCCCCTCTCCTTTCAACTTGAACAATTTCCTAAATACAGATTTCCATTTCCTTTTATTACTACTACTTAGATCT